CAATTTAAAATTGAGCAGAGTGTGTTAGTTTCTAGTGAAAACTGACAAGCTGAGTCTAAAATTTATATGGAAATGTAAAGAAGCTAGAGTAACCAAGCCAGTCTTTAAAAAGCAGTGCATAATGAACACTTTTACCACCAGAAACCAATTTACTATAAAGTTAGAGTTCTAAGACATGGGACAGTACTGGCATGGGGAAAGTCAAGCACATTTGGTGGAACTGGATAGAGATAGAGAATCCAGAAATAGCCCAAACATACAGTTTCATAACTACCCAATTTATGGCAGAATTTCTACTGAAACTCAGAAGGAGGGGGGGGGCGCGGCTGTGTGCAGGAGCATTTCATGAGACACACCCACTTCCTGAGAGTTCTGTCTCTGGAATCCCTGAGACCGCCCCGGCTGGCCCTCAGTGTCCCCAGGACGTAGCTTCCACACAGATGTGTGTAAATGGCCTAAAGAATGGATAGTGAACTATGATAACTAATTCTCGTCTCTGCCATTTTCTGGCAAACATATCAACTCTGTTTTTATCTCAGACCCACACTTAATTGCTTTTTCATAAGTCTGCCTTAAGCCACCTGGTGACAGGCACAGGTCTGCTGACCTTTACGTAGGTCACTGACTTGTGTATTGACATCTAGCCTATTTTTAAGTACATTTCCATCCATTTACTAACTCATGCTCCACCTCTGAGGAACACACCAGTTTTGGTTAGCTAAGAATATCTGGAAACCCAAGTATTCACTCCGTCAGTAAATATCTGGTTCTGACATAGTTTGAGCGGAGCGGGGGGATGTTTGGGGCGGGGGGGAGACAGACATACAGAGAGTTACAAATCAAAGTAACAAGTGGAAAAGCAGTGTTTTCATTTCAGCAAAATTCTACTTTCTCTTGGGTGTCATAGCTGGTTCACAGCAATACCTCATACATATGGAAAACACCATTCCATCAGCACATGCGCTGCCTGGGAGGAAAAGGCGTCCTAAATCTCTCTGAGCACCTAGTTTGTCTTGCACAAAACGGCATTACCACATGTAATGTGATAGCTTCGCGGGCCACGCGTGAGAACTAGGCTGGATCACACTCGACGTGTTTTTATTATTGAGCACAGACAACCGTACCTTCGTCCACTGCCACAGCACTCTGCCCGCGGAAACCAGACTTGAAATCATCTCACATATTTCAGGTTTGAACTTTCTACAGGGGTCGAAGTATCCGCAGCCAATAACTCCTGAAAAAACAACAACACAAGATTAAAGGTGCAAGCTCATTAAAAGGTTACAAGGTGCATGTTTATCCCTGAGAATAACTCATTACAAGACTGACGAGGCGGTGTTAAGAATTTCTCAACAAAGGCAGCAGTGGGCCTGGGAAGCTTAGCAGGCTGTGCTGAGCATTTTATATGGACTCGCTCATTTAACTCTCCCAACATCCTCTGAGAAAGAATCTGAGGCAGACATTATTATTCTTCCCATGTTAATATGGGTTTAGGACTGGCCCACAGTCACACGGCCTGTGGGCGAATCTGAGATCTGAACCCATGTAGCCTGGCTCGGAGCCTGTAGGACAGCACTCGTCCTGGGGCGTAGGAAGCTGGCAAAGGACTTAGAAACCACTCCCTCATCCTGCAGGGGAACAGCCCAGGCCCAGATAGGTAAAGCAGTCAGCGGAGAGGTTGTTGAAAGAAATGGACTCGGCACCCACATCTCCGGACCTGCGGTCAGTCAACGCCCCGGCCTGGGCTGGCCCTCCCGTGGCTCCTGGGACACACCCAGCACAGACAGTGCGACATAACCGCCCTCGGGAAGGGTACGTTGTAGGGTTAGAATGTTTGGGGTTCAGACTGCAAAACCGGGGTGCTCTATTCCCCTCCGTGAGACGGCACACTACGTGACGTGCTCGGTGCTGAGCAGGGTATTTTCAGGGGAATGTGAACGTGAATGGCTGTTGGGAGATTCAGAGCAGGTTAGGAAGGGGTGGGTGTGGGGGGAGCTAAAGAAGCTGGGCTTTGTTCACACAGCTCGGAGAAGAGCAGCCTGGAGGGCACATGGAACTGCCCTCCAACGTCATGGCTGCTGGTGCCAGAGGCCGGAAGGCCCTTTGCTTCCTGAAATCCTCTGGTTCTGGGTCTCCAGCTTCCGGTGGGACACGCGTTCTGTGGGGAGCATGGGATCTGGAACCCAAAATCAGGATTCGCACCACGCCCCTGCCCTGCACAGGCCACACGGCCCTGACTGGGCAGTTATTTCTCTTTGCTGAGCCTCAATTTCTGGTTTGTTTCCACAGGTAACTTTCAATATTAATCACATTGAAGAGCGTATGAAATAGTGTGGCAAATGCTCACATACAGACCACTAAGCCGAGAGACACCACAGGGCCTGGGACACTGGAAGCCCGTTTGTCCATCCCTCCCTCGCCCTCCCTTCCTTCTCCACGAGGTAGCCACCACTCCGACTTGGTGAGAACCAGAACTAGCTTTTCTTTATGGCTTTGCCATATATTTTTCTGAACTTTCACTTTTTTTAACCCTAATTTTTGAAACTTAATTTCATAGAATCATATATTCCTTGGTGACTTGCTTATTTCACTCCACATGCTACTTCTGAGCTTTATCCATGTTGAACCATGTAGCCGTGTGTGCTCATATTTGCTGCTGTGTGGCATTACACTGTGTACCTATGCGGCAAGTTATTTATCCGATTTTATCGTCAATAAATATGGGGGTTACCTCAAGGCTTTTTCTATCATGAACATTGTTCTGGAGCACAGATGCAAAATCAATTACAGGTGGATGGAGGACTTAAACATGGAAGGCAAAGCTATGCAATGCTTGGGAAGAAATACAGGAGACTGTCTACATGACCTCTGGGGAGGAAAGAACTTCCCAAGTGAGACTCAGAGAGCACACACCATAAAGGAAAACAATGATGAACTCTTATACAGCCGGAAGTGGACCTGCTGGGGGTGTGGCCATGGGCTGCTTCTCCAGAACCAGTGTCTAATCCCTCCCCGCAGGGCTGGCGGCAAACTGCACGCCCGCCAGCCGGCCGGGGATGAGAGGCCCAGTTGCTTCGCGTTCTCACCAATGCCTGATTTTGTCAGAATTTTTCATTTTTACAAATCTAGCGGTATGATGTGGCATTTCCTTGGTGCTCTAAATTGTCATCTTCCTGAATATTCATGCTTATCACCTTTACACTTGTTTACTTGCTACTTGGTTACCTTTTCTTAAAGTACTGGTTTTTCATTGCCCATTTTAATATTGGGTGGTTTGCTTTTCTCTTAACGATTCATACGATTTCTTTAAATATTCAGAATACTAACTTTTTTTGTTTTGTTATATGAGTTGAAATTTTTTTTCTTCCACTTTCTTGTTTTTTTTACTCTATTAATGCTGATTTTTAGAGGAACCACAGTTCTTAACCTAGTCAAGTTTATCATCCTTTTTTCGTATGGCTTATGCTTTCTGAATCTCATTTAAACAGTTCTTTCCTGCCCTGGCTGGTTTGGCTCAGTGGATAGAGCGTCGGCCTGAGGACTGAAGGGTCCCAGGTTTGATTCCGGTCAAGGGCATGTACCTTGGTTGTGGGCACATCCTTAGTGGGGGGTGTGCAGGAGGCAGCTGATCAATGTTTCTCTCCCATCGATGTTTCTGACTCTCTATCCCTTTCCCTTCCTCTCTGTAAAAAATCAATAAAATATATTAAAAAAATAAATAAATAAACAGTTCTTTCCTACACAGAGGTCATTTGGATATTTTCCTTTATTTTCTTCCAAATGTTTTATAAGCTTTGATGTCCATATTTAGATCTTTAATCTATCTGTATTGATTTTATGTTTGGTGTGAAGTAGGGGTCCAATTTCAGTGATTTTCCCATAAGAATTAGTAAATATCCCAGAACCACCCATTGAAAATGCCTCTCCCTTCTGATCTACAGTACCTGCCATGTCAAATAATTAATGTCCACATATTCATGAGTCTGTTTCTCTTGTATGTCTTCACAAACATAATTTTTGATGGTATAGTTTAATGTGAACCTAAATTTGGCACTAAAAATTTCATTTTTATTAACATAGCAAACTGCTACATTTGACTTGGTATATTATATTAACCTATGATCAATGTGCAGTCACTCAGCCCAAATTCCTCTTATTAATCATGCCAAGGAAACCAAAGCACAAAGATTTGCTTATCTCTAAGCCAACCTTTAACAAGGCTATTTCTAAATATTCCTGAGTCTTAACAGGGGCTATAAACATTCTTCTTAGTATTTACTCCCCTCTTTTCTGGTACTTAGCTCTCTATTTCACATACTTAATCCCCACTTCACACAGAGCCTTTTATCTCTTAAAGAAGGTTTTGCATGGTCTATGTCCATTATGTATGCAATTAAAAAATTAAACACCAAGAAGAGTCATACCAAAAATTTTGTCTATTGAAGCATTGGAAGGCAATGTGCAATTAAACACAGTAAATTGTCTTTTTAAACGTTGGGGAATGTCATTTCGACCCCCTCCAGGGTGGATCATTGCTGCTATGAGCTGTACATCAACAATAGTAGTGAAGTCTCCAGGCTTATCCAAACTGTACATGCCTTCCATTTCCATCATTTGTCGCACAATCTCATTAGTTATCTGAAATGTTATACACACTATTTTAGTAACATATCACTATCTCATTCCTCCACAGCTCCTATAAAATTAGTACAGATGAGATTAAAAGAAAATATTCAACTCTTATCAATGAAGTGTTTGTAAATGCTAATGATCACCTTCAAGGCTACATGATTTAACCCGTCACCCATGAAATCTAAACCATAAGTTAAACGTGTCTGGTGCAAGTCCAATCTGCTCCTCATCACATAGATAAAACTAATTTCCAAATACACTTAGATGAATTATGGAATATTTGGCACAACTGCAGTAGTACTCAAGTTGCAAGTTTTGCTATAGGTATCTTTCACACTCAAAATTCAACACTTCAAAATACTTACATCAGGATGTGGCATGGTTTTACTCCTGAGCTTTCAAAATTTTATCACTGAATGTTTGGGTTTTGGTTTTGCATCCCCACCTTATCTTTCCTGCAGCCTCTAACATTGCTACAACCACCTCCTTATTAAAAATGTTCCCGCTCTTGGTTTCAGAGGCTCAGTTCTTTCCAGGTTCATCTAATGACTTGGGTAGCATCCCAAGCACCATTTTTCACCCGTCCCTCACATGTAACTGTTCCATAGGGCTCCATCCTCCTCTTCTCTTCCCACTGTTCAGAGCATGCCATATCAACTCTATACCCTGGAGAATCTCAACTCTGGAACCCCATCTTCAGGTTCCTTTCTAAGCTCCACACCTCTATGTCCAAATTCCTACTGGGCATCTCACAATCTGGGCACACAAGCACCTCAAATATAGCAGTCTTTCATTTAACAAACATTTAACGAATGATTTCTGTGTGTCTGGTAACATAGACAGACGTCCCTGTCATTCTAGTAGTGGGAGAGAATATATATATAATAGTATATTATAAGTCTTTTTGGAAAAAATGAAGCAGAAAAAGGAAATAGGCAGTGCTCAGAGGTATAGCTGAATATGGGGAGTAGGGGAGTCTCCAGCTTTCAAAACATATAAGGAAAGACTTAAAGACATGAGAAAGGAAACCACTTAAATATCTAGGGGAAGAGCATTGCAGGCAGAGTAAACAGTAAATGAGGTGCTGAGCGAACATCATATCCAGTGTGTACAAGGCTCAATAAATGTGGCTGGAGCAGAGTCACGGGGAGATGAGGTCAAACGGGATAGGCCCTTTGAGTCCCGGTAAGAATTTTGGCACGCATATTCTATGCGTCTCATGGAGGGTTTTGAGCAGAGGATTGTGTCCTGATATGGCTCACGTTTTAACTGATTTGAGAATAGATTGAGAGGGGCAAAGGAAACGGAAGCAGTGAGGAGACATCTGCAATGGTCAAGAAGAGAGAGAATAGTTTGCACAGATATTGGCAATGGAATGGATAAATCTTGGATTAGTTTGAAGATAGAGCCAACATGATTCCCTGAAAGATTGAATGGTGTTGCTATTTTTTGAGATGGAGAGCACTGTTGGAAGAGCAGGTTTAGGGAGTAACAGGAATTTGGCTTTGGAGAGGACATGGTAAGTTTGAGATCCAACTATACATTCCTAATTGGATAAATGAGCCCGAAATGCAGGGACTCTTCAGTTTATAGATGATATCTAAATATGCTTCCACTCTCCTCACCTTATAGCAGTGATGGCGAACCTTTTGAGCTCTGGGTGTCAGCATTTTGAAAAACCCTAACTTAACTCTGGTGCCCTGTCACATATAGAAATTTTTTTATATTTGCAACCACAGTAAAACAAAGACTTAAGTTAGCCCGACGGTTGTGGGTTATTGTTAAGCTGATTAACAAAGACTTATATTTTTGATATTTATTTTATATATTTAAATGACATTTAACAAAGAAAAATCAACCAAAAAAATGAGTTCGTGTGTCACTTCTGACACACATGTCATAGGTTCGCCATCACTGCTGGAACTGCTGAGAGGTCTATGGGCCTTGGAACCCAACCGAATGGGAGAGAAAAGGGGAAAGGAAAGGGGGGAAAGCCTTCCCCGGCCTGAGGATGACACCTGCATAGATTCGCACGTTGGGTAGACCTGGCCTATGTGGGCCAGAGATTTTCAACTGTTAACTGTGCTTTGATCCTTGAGTAAGCTCTTAAGGACCCGGCAGAAGAAAGCTCAAAACCTGTCTGGATGCGGGCACATCCATTCTAGGCTTCAGATAATTTTCAAAGGCGATGACCTAGCTAGCAGCCAAAGATACATACAGAAAACAAGACAGTTTGAACCTGAACAAAAACTATTAAAACCACAGAAAGCAGAAACAGAGCCACAAAGACTCCATATGCTAGAATTAACAAACACAGAAATTAAAACAACTGCGCTAAACATGTTTAAAGAAATAAACAACACATTTTAAAACATATGCAAGGAGTAGGAAATTAGTAAAAATGACAGTATTTTTTTGAAAGAAAAGATAATCAAATAACTAAAATTAAAACTCAAAAAATAATTTGACAGTAGGTTGGACAAAGTTGAGAAGAAAATTAGAGAAGTGGAAAACAGAGAGGGGAATTATCTAGACATAAGTATTACAAGGCTGGGGTGTATAGAAGAGAATTACAGAAGCATAGAGGACATAGAGTTTGAGAAAAGAGGAAAGAGAGTAAGGCAGAAGCAATATTTGAAGAGATAAAGACTAGAAAATTTCTAGAACTGATGAAAGACACCAAACCACAGATTCACGAGTCCCAGTGAATCCCAAGTAAATAAATGCAAGTAAATCTACACCAAGGAACATCATTTAGAAAAGAAAAAATATAGTAAAGTAAGGTAAAGAGAAGCCTTAAAAGCAGCCAGTGAGAGAAGGCAGATTGACAACAGAGGTGCAGTGCTGAAGTGGTAGTTGACTTCTCAGCAGCAACAGGAAAACAGAGGACAGAAATGATAGATTCAGCATGATGAAGAAATAACTGCCTGCCTCGATTTCTACACCCAGCAGCAATTCTTTCAAATAAAAGAGATGAAATAAAGACATTTACAAACAAAAACTAAGAATTCGTCATTAAAAGACCTTCTCTGAAGGAAGTTCTAAAAGCAGAAGGAACATAATACCAGAAGGAAGGCCCAAGATGCAATAATAAGTAAAGAGCAAAAAAGTGTTAAATATGTGGGTAATGAAAATGAAGACTAAATATATAAAGCAGTACAAATAATGCCTCATGGAAATTTTTTAAAAAAGAGAGAGATAGACCTAAAATACAAGCCAACAATAAAACGCTAAGTCAGGAGAAAAACAAAAGGAAATTGAAGTGTTCAAAAGTCATTGGGCATACAAAATGGAAGCTAAAGGGTTAGTTATCTTTATTTTTTTATTATCTGAGTATGCAGATATATTGTCTACGGTAACCACTAGAACACAAAAATTAAGTACAGCCTATCCTATATAATAAAAGCTTAATATGCTAAGCATCCGGTTGTCTGGTCATCCGTTCAACCAATCAGAATCTAATATGCTAATGATACTCTAAGGCCACTCAACCACTCTCTATGATGTGCACTGACCACCAGGGCACAGAGTCGACCGGTCGACCAGTCGCTATTACATGCACTGACCACCAGGGGGCAGACACTCTGATCAGTAGGTTAGCTTGCTGCTGGGGTCCAGCCGATTAGAACTGAGCAAGATGGGCCGGACATGCTCTGGAGCCCTCCCGCAGTCCTTCCCTGGCTGGCCAACGTCCTGCATCCCTCCCCAGCCCTGATCGTGCACAGGTGGGGTCCCTTGGCCTGGCCTGTGCCCTGCCGCAATCCGGGATCCCTCAGGGAATGTCGGAGAGCCAGTTTCGGCCTGACAGCCGAACAACCAGTCGCTATGACACGCACTGACCACCAGGGGGAAGACACTCAACAGAGGAGCTGCCCTCTGGTGTCAGTGCGTTCTCACAGGGGGAGCGCCACTCAGCCAGAAGCCAGGCTCATGGCTGGTGAGTGCAGTGGCGGTGGCGGGACCCTCTCCCGCCTCCGCGGCAGCATTAAGAATGTCCAACTGCGGCTTAGGCCCACTCCCCCTGGGGAATGAATTTTGTGCACTGGGCCTCTAGTAGATAATAAACAAAAGGGAAAAATCAATTTCCTCAGAGAAATAGGAAGAAAACTGCAACCCATCTATGCTCAGCTAAGAGTGAGGAAATGGAGGGGTTAGAGGTCTGGGAAAAAGAAAAAAGTATGAAATAGTCATCTCCCAGAGCAGGAGCCTAAAAGGAAATACAGCACAGGCATAGACAGGACAAAGATATAAAACATGAGACATGCAGTATGATTGTTGGGCAGCATTAAGAGCTCAGATGAAAAAGGGGACATATGTCATGCTTTCAACAATAAAGATTTCTTAAAAAAGAACTCAGCCATGATCATGATTTTATTTTATTAACTAGAGGCCCAATGCACGAATTCGTGCACAGGTGGGGTCCAGCTGGCCAGGCCCCAATCGGGGTGGATTGGGGCCTGGCCTGGCTGGAGGAGGAGACAGCAGGAGGTTGGCCAGCCAGCCTGCCCCGAATGGGGGAGGGGCTGTGGGAGGTTGGCTGGTCAGCCCCACCCCCTGATCGGGTGGTTCACTGGCCACAGTGGGGGTCATAGTGACCGGTTGTTCTGGTCATTATGGAGTTCCGGTTGCTGGCTTTTTATATATATACTAGAGGCTCGGTGCACAAAATCCGTGCATAGGTAGGGCCCCTAGGCCTGGCCGGCGATCAGGGCCTTCTGGCTGCCTGTCGGGGCCTTCCTTCCCCAGCTGCTGGCTGCTGAATGGGCCTTCCTTCATTCTGTGCCACCCCTGGTGGTCAGTGCATGTCATAGCAAGTGATCAAGCTCCCAGTCTCTCGGTCGAACTCCCAAGGGGACACTTTGCATATTAGCATTTTATATATATAGATACAGTAGATATTTTTTAATATGTTTTTAATATTTTAATATTTTTATATGTTTTTATTTCAGAGAAGAATGGAGAGGGAAAGAGAGATAGAAACATCAATGATGAGAGAGAATCATTGATTGGCAGCCTCCTGCACCCCCCCCACCCCCCACTGGGGATCAAGATGGCAACCTGGGCATGTACTCTGACCAGAAATCAAACCGTGACCTCCTGGTTCATGGGTCGATGCTCAACCACTGAGCCATGACAGCCGGGTTGTGATCATGATTTTAAAATGAAACCAGGTGTGGTTTTCTCCAGTCAAGTTTAGCTGCATAGATACAGTTGGAAGGAGAGCAAACTAAGTTTTAACAGGGCTTTAACATGGTTAAGGCAGAGGGTGTATGCTACAGTGATTACAATGATGGATCATAGAACTTCAGCTGGGAAAAGAAGTGAGGAAATTAGAGGAAATGGGGGATAGTTTAATGATGGTAGAAAAAATGGATGGTAGCTCCATTGGAGTCAGGAGAGGGACCAAGCTACAGAGTGGACGTAGTGATCAGAGAATAAAACGCTTGCAACTGAGATAATGAGGGAGTTGCACTGATGACAAGGTGTAGAGCATGGCCACAGGAAGGAGTCATTCAGACAGGGAGGAAGGCATGCTCTGTGGGGAGGCCAAGATCATGTATGTCAGTACTGGCATCACCAAGAGTTATGAGAGCAGGCTGCACAATTTGCAGGGCCCACAGCAAAATGAAAATGCAAGGCTCCTTATTCAAAAGTTATTAAGAATTTTGAGATGGTGACAACAGAGCATTAAACCATGTGCAGGACCCTTTGAAGTGCGAGTCCCTGTGGACGGCACAGCTGGCACACCCTTGCGGCTGCGCCCTCGTGACAGGGTCAGTACTGGAGCGCGTGACAGAGATCGGGAACTGAGCCCTGCAGGGAGAGAGGGCTGATAGCCTGCCGGGCTTTCAGGGGGAGGGCAGTGAGAAGCAAGGAGAACATCCCCTCACCTCCAGGCCTGGGTTCAGCTTGAGAAGCCTGCAGGGAGAGCGGCGCCTGGGTTCCCATCTAAGCAAGAGGTGACGGGCAAGTTCAGAGAAGTCACATTTACAGTGAATTCTGTGATGAACTGTGGCTTCCCGGGGCCCACAGGAAGGCATGGGGAGGTGGGAGATGAGGTCGGAGAGGGCAGGGCTGTCTGGGCATTATTCTCAGGGTGAGCACAGACCTGGGCACAGACCTGAGCACAGACACCCCAGTGGTGTCGTCTGGGGTGAACCGGGATAGGGGGCGGGATGGGATGGGTCCAGGCCACTCCAGCTGGAGGCTGCTGATAAGGCAGTGCATGGAGTTAGGAGAGAGGTGTTGGGGTCCCACAAGGAACATGCAGAATTCTAGCAGCATCAATAAGCTTCTCTAACAGGGAATGACTCTGGGATTGGCAGATGATCATGACTAGGACAGTGGTGTGGGGCACAGTTATAAAAAACAAGTGGTTTTTAAGTCAAGAACTCCTTTGGAGTGTGTCCAGAGTAAGGCTAAACCCTGGGGAATGGGAGAGGAGCCAGAACATGAAATCAAGCAGCCAGAGAGACAGGAGGGTGTGTTGCTAAAAACCGCAGGGTGATTTCAAAAAGGGGGAATGTCAACTCTAACCGAGAAAAATAAAAAAAGACTAAGAATTATTACTAGGCTTAGTAAGATGAAGACGATGGACATTTTTATATATAACTAAAAATACTGATTCAATACCACCTAGAGGATATATATATATATATATATATATATATATGTGTGTGTGTATATATGTGTGTGTGTATATATATATATATATATATTTAATACTTACCTGAGCATAGGAATGAAGAGAGAGAGAGAGAGAGGAAGAGAGAGAGAGAGAGAAACATCAATCATTGCCTCCTTTATGTGCCCTGACAGGATCAAATATGCAACCTTTTTGGTGTGCGGGATGATGCTCCAACCGAGCCACCGGTCAGCGCCTATAGGAGCTATTTTAGTCATACCTGGTCTCCCCATTCATTAATGACGGGCATATTAATATCGTCAATAAATACGGTCATTTTTCTGCCTCCTGGTGGCCCATATGTGCTTCCCATTCGCTTATCCACATAGCTTTCAATTGTTCTCTAGAAAAGAGGAAATCGTTTGTCTCATGCATTAGATCTCAAGCTACATTTCTAAAAATAATGAGCATATTTTCCAGAGTAGACTACTATTTAATATGTATAAATATCATTATTAAAACATATATTATGAATTTTTAAAATGTTACTAGAATGTTAATTATGAATTTATTTTAAAAGAGATATACTCAAAAGTCCAGCTCCAGCCTCAATATTAGGCTATTAATCCAAATTTTAGGCTATTAATCAATATTAGATTATTAATCCAAATATGCTATTTGGATTTGTCTTTAATCTCAGCCTTAGGGAGGTTAAATAGCTGAATGCCAACATGCAACACCATTTTTAATATATATATCAATGTTTTAGATGCATATACATTATATCATAGCCACAACTTAAAATATGGATTTAATGTTTATTAATTCAGCAAATGAGGAGTTTTACCTGAAACATTATTGGTTCTGTGGCAGATGAAAAGTTTAGACTTTTGGATAACTGTACTTCAGGATCATATTTTTTCAAATAGGCCTTAATCATTACAGTTTTTGCAGTTCCCTGCTCTCCTGTGAGCAAAACAGCCTGCAATCACAGGATAATCATGTTGAAAGGTGTTATAACATGTTTAGTTTTAAATATCTTAAGGTTCAGGTGGCCATGCTTTCATTCTACAAATTACTACAACTCATTTTTTAGAATTACATCTACACAAAAATATATCCTATTTGAGTTAAAGATTTGAATGTAAAATGTGCACTGTGAAAGTGCCGGAAGGAAATATGGGTGGATATTCACGGGACCACGGAGTATGGGAGGACTTTCCTCAGTGAGCGGGGGCCACAGTGCGGAGGAGATTGAGTTGAGCGTATCCTGGGACCTGGGCTTCATTTCCCGAACATGTTTCTCTCACTGCCTCCAGCCCGTTGTGCTGGAATTTAATTTTTCCATCTGTGGTGTGTGGGAAAGGATGTGCTTCTTCCATGGTTTGCAATCATCTAAGAAACTATCCAACTTACTTTATTTTGTTTTGCAATGGTGTCTATCAAGAAATTTGTTCTAATATTGTCAACATTTGGAACCAAAATTGATGAATACTCTGGAATACTGTCAGTCGGATAAAAATATGGCTGAAGTTTCTTATTCCAGTGCTCCCAATCACCTATACAGGAAGTAAAAATTCATCTTCATCAAACTGCATTCTTCGAAAGTAATCAGAATACAAAAATGCAAGTGATGTAAATAATCAACAGAATCCTAAAAACATTTAAAACGTTTTCCTAAAACATGTTAACATATGTGCTTATCTAACTTCTTCTCTACTATCTAAGCTAATGTTTGCTTATCTAATATTCTGTCATAAAAACATTTAAAACGTTTTCCTAAAACATGTTAACATATGTGCTTATCTAACTTCTTCTCTACTAAGCTAATGTTTGTTTATCTAATATACTGTATGTGACATTTGGTAAATTTGTTTTGTTTTCTTATAAAGGTTTTCAATTGCTAAATTATTCATCCAGAGGGATTGGGCCTGAAATGTAATACAAATCAGCTGGAGGTGAAACCAATGAGTGTGTAGTATCTAGTAGGAAAGCCACACCCACTGAGACGATGGGAAAGATCACAGAAAGGGTAACTATAGAACTGATATCACTTCTCCCTTAACGATCTGGTAGAATTCACCAATGAGGTCATCTGAGCCTGGAGTTTTCTTTGCGAAAAGGTTTTACCCATTAATCACAATTTTTTTAAGTAGAGTATCTATTTTCTTCTTGATGATGCTTGGTAGTTTTTTATCTTTCAAGGAATTTGTCCATTTCTTCTACACTATCAAATGCATTTTCATAACGTTGCTTCTAATATTCATTTCTTATTTGTGTTCATGTCTGTAGGATCTGTCGTGATCACGAGTTCCCTCTTTCATTCTGGACAACAGTGAGTTATGCCTTTTCTTTCTCCCCTGATATCTCTAATGAGAGATTTATCAATGTTATTGATCTTTTCAAAGAACATCTTTGGTTGGGCTCTGGATCCTAAGAGAATTCGTACCTAGATTTAAGGATGCATTTAGTTTTAGTTGGCATTTTGAATTAGACTTTCTTTTTATCATCCCAAATCTAATCACCTGCTGTAAAATTATTGGTCATTCTGGATAAAGATGGCCAGCTGGAAAAAATTCATGTACCTCAGTCTCTTTTTAAAGGCCCTTTAAAATACAAACTTTCACTTAATCTCCATTTTCAAATGATTCTCCTACCCTCAAATGTGCCTGGTGTCCCCTAAGTCCAGGCAACCCTGTGTTTTACACTTTCCAACCAATAATTCTTCCATCCTTGACCAGCGTGGGGTCGGTGCCGCTGTCTAGCAGTGTGGCTTTGGAAAGAGGACCTGGAGCCCTGTTTCTCAAGCAGACTGACAAGCAGCCTTCCTGTTCTTACCTCCCCCTTTGCCTCAGGGTCCAATGCCTGAGCCCTTTGAAGGTTCTGTGACGTATACCGTATACCACATTGCTGCGTAACTCTTCCCACTGCTGGTGCAGGGCTTACCTTGCCCCTGTGCTCAACCAACTGCCACTTACCTTCCCGCTTTCTTGCTTTCAATATGAAGTTATTGCAGTCTACTCTCCTGTTCTTTTGAGTTTGTGCATTAGAAAATACCTTTGCTATTTCGGAGTTTTAGAAAGAATCAGAGGCAAATGCAGTTTTTAGGAAGCATGATTTTCCTTCTCTGAGACTTAGAAGCACTGGGAGTTAGGCTCTGGATAGAGGTACCAAGCTCAAGGGCATTTCTTTTACAGACAGGTGAGCTGGCTCCTGCCACACACGGGCGGCCTGTCTGCTACATGTAAGGTGGGCCCGTCTGTTTGGTTCACTCTCTTCCAACAGGGAAGCTGTGGGATCGATCTGATCCCGCGTCGTGAAGATCGTGAAGAACCTGTGTTCCCTACACTGCTGCCTTTTCCTTGTCAATCATTTGAAAGGAGGTGATGTACGAGGTATTGCCAACTTGTTTATGCCAGATGTCCCGTAGGCCACTCCAAAAGAAGTCAGGAGTCGCCATACCTGTTCCCAGCGTGGCCAACATGCAAAATTATACTATTCTTTGCATCTGTGACCTTTCAAAATGTTTTAGCAATGATGTCACTCGTAACTGGTTTAATGTTTCCCCAAGGAGAGTTCATGGAAGTTTACATTTTCCCCATCTTTAGAAATGTCATTTCATTTCAGGGAGAAGTCGCTATGCTTACCGTAATCAGTAACATAAAACTCGTACATGGTGTAATTTGTGCCTTTAGGGATTTCTGGTAACAATATCTTGCTTTGGTGGCTTCTCATAAAGGCTTCAAGCTTATCTCTGCTGTCCAATTCCAGAAGAGCTCCTAAGCTCCACATGAGGCCAAACACAAATAATTTATGAAGATGATCGACACTCGAAATTCCACCTTCTTCCTTGGAGGGAATCAAGCCTTCCAGAAGAGTGAGAGACTGAAAATATTTAAAATACAATAAAATAAATTTTTATATTTAAAACCTTAAATAAAAAACTTTAAACGATACTAAATTTAGAAGAAGGGAAAGAGAAAACAAATGTGTGTCCACATATCGCTTGGTCACTGTCCAACAGCCACCAGCATGTAGAGGGAACGTGGTCCTGCTTTAGACAGACCGCGTGGTCTAGCAGGAAGGATGCTAAGCTGGGGACCGGGAGGTGTGGTTTCTACTCCCAGCTCACAGCAGTGACCTGAGGTCCCATTTCCTGACCTGAAATGCAGAAAGCCTACACTAGCTGTTTTCTAGTTTCTGGTTCTAAAGCAGCGGTTCTCAACCTGTGGGTCGCGACCCCTTTGGCGGTCGAACGACCCTTTCACAGGGGTCGCCTAAGACCATCCTGCATATCAGATATTTACATTCCAATTCATAAAGTAGCAACATTACAGTTATGAAGTAGCAACGAAAATAATTTTATGGTTGGGTCTCAACATGAGGAACTGTATTTAAAGGGCCAGAAGGTTGAGAACCACTGTTCTAAAGTTTGGTTACTCCAAGTTTCTAGACCAAAGATTGTCTTTTTTTTCACATTTTGCAGGGCTCCGCAATGCCGGAAGCCGGTCCATCCTTGCTGCTTGACACAGTCACTGCAGGAAAGAAACTTCTGCACAGCATATGTTTCAAGGGACTTGGTGTATATGGCACACTGTTCTTAATATGTTTGCTCACCTTCTTGGCGCTATGTGTTTTAACCAAGGTCACCTCTCTGAGAAAGGTTGTTTCCCCAGGTAGGAATTTTCCCTGAAGTTAGGGAGGGAATAAAACCCCTTAACTAAGTGCCAGGCGGGTAGTTAATCACTTTAACTACGAACAATCACGCTTAAGCTACATAATCTCTACTCCCTGGAATGGAGATAAGAAACGCCCTAACCTTTGGAATAGAGATTGATAGGATTGGAATCAACTGGTATAAATACAGATGTAACAAGACAACACAAGACAGAACCTAGAAACAGGACCTAGAGACAGAACCTAGAGAGAGAACCTAGGGAGAGGACATGGCAAAAGATCCTGGACAGAACCTGGCTACAGAACTTGGCTGTAGAACCTAGACAGAACATGGCAGGAGAACCTGGAGAAGCTGGATGGAGAACCAAGCGAGAGAACCCAACCATGCTGGTCAACTGAACGCTGCCTCCGTGTCATTCCTTCTTCGCCAACTCCGTCCACACCTTTGGGGACCCCTGGACCTGCTGGGGTTGGACCCCAGCACCGCAAACTGTGGCCCCAGGGGCCAGCCACCTGTCGGGCAAATGAAGTTTCACTAAAATCCAGTCACGTTCATGTGTGTAGAGCAGGGGTGGGCAAACTTTTTGACTCGAGGGCCACAATGGGTTCTTAAACTGGACCGGAGGGCCGGAACAAAAGCATGGATGGAGTGTTTGTGTGAACTAATATAAATTCAAAGTAAACATCATTACATAAAAGGGTACGGTCTTTTTTTTTTTTTTAGTTTTATCCATTCAAACGGGCAGGATCCCGCCCCGCGGGCCGTAGTTTGCCCACGGCTGGTGTAGAGTGTCTGGCTGCGTTTGCAGTACAACAGCAGAGCTGAGTGGTTGAGACAGAGTGTTGTGCAAAGCCTATTACATGTACTAGCTGCTCCTTTAAAAATGTGTGCCAACCCCCCACTTCGGCTTCGGCTTCAGAAAGAAATAGATCTACAGTGAAACATCCTCAGTCTTGCAAAACAAAATTATTTCAAAATTTCCCACTTTTGTTATGCATTTTAAAGTAATTACTAAATATTTTTTTTGGCCTTGTGTACTCTTTCTAACCTACCTACCCTCGCTGACAGACGCTCCTTACACTAAGAATCACACACTGGGTAAGGAATGGATAAGCAAGGATCACCTATGGACTAGAATCAGGAGATAAAAGTCTATGCTTAATTCTTTTTTTTCCTAAAGACTAAGAAGGAAAACTGAGCAGGGGGTGGTGGTGGGATGGGGGCGGGTATTAAAAACTGCCTGGAGAATTGTCTCCAAGTCTCCCCATCTGCTCTCTGCTAAATCCGCTCAGCCAAGACGGCATCCAGGTTGAACGGATTGCCAGCAGCTCCTTCCTGTGTTTCCCGTAGAGCTGGGAGCTTTACTTATTTGCCCACTCTCGTTACTGGACACACTTCCTGGGCAGGTCACCAAGCTTGACCAGGGGAAAGAGAGTTCATTCCTCTCCCCCGACTACCACCCCCTGGGAAGTGAAAATAACAGAGAGATGGCAGTCAGGGCATTCCTGAGGCTTCAACAGGAACCCAACTTTGCAGAGCCCTCGCCGCCGCCGGATAAAAACATGTCCATGGGCCTAACCGGTTTGGCTCAGTGGATAGAGCATCGGGCTGCGGACTGAAGGGCCCCAGGTTCGATTCCGGTCAAGGGCATGTACCTTGGTTGCGGGCACATCCCCAGTAGGGGGTGTGCAGGAGGCAGCTGATCGATGTTTCTAACTCTCTATCCCTCTCCCTTCCTCTCTGTAAAGAATCAATAAAATATATTTTTAAAAATGTCCATGGACTCATACCTTTCCTATTTCAGATGCCTCTACACTACAACTGAGTAGGAAAGAAGAACCTCAAATCTTATAACCAAACAAAAACAAAAAAACTTACTTGCACAATATAGTTGCACTCTAAGAGCTGCATTTTGGGGTTGAGGCTTAGTTTCATGTATGTATACACATCTTCGAATACCTTATCGTACAGACTTTGGAACACAGTGGCCTCCCTGCGACAGTGCGGCGTCTTCAGCCAGGCCTGCAGCACACAAACAGGGTGTGTTTATTAAGAAAAGCGGAGCCGGGAAGGCAGAGCGGCTCCGGGTCTCCGTCCCACCTGCAGTATCGGCCTCCAGTTGAGGGCGGAGCTGCTGAATGTAGACCATGCCCATCCTGGACACGGTGGCGGGGGGAGGCGTTCTCGATGTTGTGCACCTCGAACAGAAGCTTGCAGTGGGGGGACATGGGGATGCGATCCCCGTTGGCCAGCGTGAGCGTCTTGTTGTCGTCCAGCACGGAATTCAGGTTCTCGATCCAAATGGCATCCACGGGGCCATCCAAAATCAGGAAAATGTTCTCACCTGCGAAGCATTGCCACGGAAAATTAAGCAAATAACTGTTCCTATAAACTGGCGGGGGGGTGGGGGGGGGAGTTGAGGGTGGGGGGATCGATCACAAAGGGGCTCTGCGTGGACCTTTCTTAGCTTTTAGTGTTTTTCTCCACAGCGTGGAAAAAATCCCGTCTGTCCAGTCGTTGGTGGCCGTGTCCAGTCTGCCGAACATCTGCGGCGCCGTGATGGCCTTGGGGTTCATGCGCATCTCCCGGTGCGGCCGGCCGCAGTCGGTCAGCGCCTTCATCAGGATGGTGATCACCGTGGTCTTGCCCGAGCCGCTGGGCCCCAGGGTCATCAGGCCGTGCCGCACCAGCGACGTCTCGTACAGCTGAGCAATGACAGGACAGTCAGCTGGACCAGGCACCGACAGGCCTCTGGAGGACGCTTTAATAATCCCCCCAGTAAAGTGAGAAAATGGTTTTTTAAAATGTTTTGTTGTTTTTTGTGTTGTTGGTTTATTATTTTTGTTTGTTTTTTTTTTGTTTTTGTTTTTTTTGGTCTTACTGGAGGTGGAAAGTAAATTAGCACCACGTTATAAAATATGTGATGAAGCAACGACAACGTGGAATTGGAATGACATTTTGGAAATACTTCATTCGGGCCCTAGAGGTTGCTTCTCAAACCTCGTGATTTTATTCCTTGCGATTTTGTTTTGCATGAAACCTATGGAGCAGTTTTTTCACTCTCTCG